CAGAAGAATATATCATGTATATTTGTATAATATAAGCATTCTAAGTATTACTTGCTTTTCAGTGCTACTTAAAGATTATTTATACAAGATGGTATTAAAAAGAGTAGTGGCCATGAAATCAGGAGGCCGAGTCATGATCTTGGTTCTAATCCTAGATATGTAATTTTGGACAAGTCATTGAACTTACCTGAGCCTATTTCCTCTTTTATGAATAAAGGGTCAAATTTGATCGTTTAATCTGTGATTCTGTCATACAATCTAAGTTATTAAGTTTAAGTATACTGAAAAATTTTAGGAAGAGCACACAAAACTTTGTTACCCTCCTCAGCACTTGCCATGTTCCTTAAACTAACAAAATGTGAAAAACAAATGAGATGGTTTCTTCTTCTCTCTAAATTTATAACATATAGGAATTTATATATTTGGTTGAACTTTTCAAACTTTTCATCTGGGGAAGAAGTGAAATTTCTTGTTACATCTAATAGATGCTGAACAAAAACGAAACATAATTTAGCTTATAAAAATACAGGCATACTTTGGAGATATCACAGGTTTGGTTCTAGACCACCACAGTAAAGCCAATATCCTTATTAAAGTGAGTCACATGAATTGTTTTGGTTTCCCAATGCATGTGAAAGTTATGTTTACACTATACGGCAATCTATTAAGTGTGTGATAGCATTATGTCTAAAAAACAATAATTTTTAAGTATTTTATTACTAAAAAATGCCGATGATCATCTGAGCCTTAAGCAAGTCGTGTGCTGTTGGCCAAGACGGTGGCCTCCATGTTGATAGCTATTGACTGATCAAGTTGTTGGTTCCCGAAGGCTGGGGTGGCTGTGGCAATTTTGTAAAATAAGGTAACAATGAAGTGTAGTGCATCGATTGACTCTTCTCTCATCAAAGATTTCTCTGTAGCATGTGATGCTGTTTGATAGCATTTTACCCACAGTAGAGCTTCTTTCAAAATTGGAGTCAGTCCTCTCAAACCCTACTGCTGCTTTATCAACTAAGTTTTTATATAATATTCTAAATCCTTTGTTGTCATTTCAACAGTGTTCACAAGCATCTTCACCAGGAGTAGATTCCATCTCAAGAAACTACTTTCTTTGCTCATCCATAAGAAGCAACTTCTCATCCGTTCAAGTTTTATCGTGAGATTGCAGCAATTGAGTCACATGTTCAGGCTCCACCGCTAATTCTGGTTTTCTTGCTATCTCCACCACATTTGCAGTGGCTTCATCCGCTGAAGTCTTGAATCCCTCAAAGTCAACCGTGAGGGTTGGAACCAACTTCTTCCAAAATCCTGCTATGTTGATATTTTGACCTCTTCTTATGAATCTTCAATGTTCTTAATGGCATATAGAATGGCGACACCTTTCCAGAAGGATTTCAGTTTACATTGCCCAGACCCATCAGAGCAATCACTATCTATAGCAGCTATAGCCTTATGAAATGTACATCTGAAATAATAAGGCTTGAAAATTGAAATGACTCTTTGATCTATGGGCTGCAGAATGGATGTTATCAGGCACGAAAACAGCATTCATCTCCTTGTACATCTCCATCAGAGCCCTTGGGTGACCAGGTACATTGTCAGTGAGCAGTAATATTTTGAAAGGAATCGTTTCTTTCTGAGTAATAGGTCTCAATAGTGGTCTTAAAAAAATCAGTAAACTGTACTGTAAACAGATGTGCTGTCACCCAGGCTTTGTTGTTCCATTGATGGCAGAGTAAATTTGGCTTAATTCTTAAGGGCCTTAGGATTTTCAGAATGGTCAATGAGCACTGCCTTCAACTTAAAGCCACCAGCTGCATTAACCCCTAACAAGAGAGTCAAACTGTCCTTTGAAGCTTTGAAGCCAGGCCAAGCTACTGGCTTTGACTACTCTCTAGCTAGTCCTAGGTGGTATCTTCTCCCAATAGAAGGCTATTTTATCTACGTTGAAAATCTGTTGTTTAGTGTAGCCACCTTCTTCAGTAATCTTAGCTAAATCATTCTGAATAATTTTTTCTACATCTTGCGCTTTTATGTTATAAAGTTGGTTTCTTTCCTTAAACCTCATGAACAAAACTCTACTAGCATCAACCTTTCCTTTTGCAGCTTCCTCACCTGTCTCAGCCTTCACAAAATTATGAAGCGAGTTAGGGCCTTGTTCTGGATTACAGTTTGGCTTAAGGAAATGTTGTGGCTGGTTTGATCTTCTATCCAAACCACTCAAACTTTCTCCATGTCAGCAATAAGGCTGTTTCACTTTCTTATCATTCACACTAGTAGCACTTTTAATTTCCTTCAGGAACTTTTCCTTCAGACTAACTATTCGGTGCGAGAGGCCTAGCTTTCAGCCTATCTCGGCTTTTGGCATGCCTTCCTCACTAAGCTTAATTATTTCAAGCTTTTGATTTAAAGTGAGATGTGTGACTCTTCCCTTCACTTGAATGTCATTGTACGGTTAATTGGCATAGTTTCAGTATTTTTATGGGAGGCCTGAGGAGAGAGACAGAGGGAATGGCTGGCCAGTCAGTGGAGCAGCCAGAACACACAGAACGTTTATTAAGTTTGCTGTCTTATTTGGGTGCTGTTCATGGCGCCCCCCCAAAAATTACAATAGTAACATCACAGATCACCATAACAAATACAATAATAATGAAAACAGTTGAAATAATGGGAGAATTACCACAGCGTGACATAGAAACACAAAGTGAGCACATGCTGTTGGAAAAATGGCCATGATAGACTTGCTCGACACAGGCCTGCCACAAACTTTCAATTCGTAAAACACACAGTATCTGGCAAGCACAGTAAAGCAAAGAGCAACAGAACAAGGTATGCCTGTATGATGTTCACAAAAGGAAACCCAGAGGGCCCTGTTCAGTTACTACTGCTACTGAACAGCCTACCTGCCTTCGTTCATTTGCATTGCTGTGAAGGAATGCCTGAGGCTGAGCAATTTATAAAGAAAGAGGTTTATTTTGGCCCACAATTCTGCAGATTATACAAGAAGCATGGTGCCAGCATCTGCTGGGGAGGGCCTCAGGAAGCTTTCACTCCAGGCGGAAGGGGAGGGGAGCAGGCATCACATGGTGGGAGAGTAAGGAAGAGAGAGAAGGAAGGAGGCAGGTACCAGGCTCTTTATTAATAACAGTCAGTTCTCACATGAACTAACAGAGGGAGAACTCACTCATCATCACGAGGACAGCACGAGCCATTCCTGAGGGTTCTGCTCCTCTGACCCAAACACCTCCCATTAGACCCCACCCCCAACATCAGGGATCAAATTTCAACATGAGGTTTGGAGGGGACAAATACCCAATCTGTATCACATCACTAGCCCAAAACATAATGGTTTAAAACTACAATAATAATCTCATTAGCTCCTTAGTCTGCATTTCGGGCTCGGTTTTGTGGGAGTAGCTCCCCTCTGCTCCACCTGGTGTCAGCTGGGACAGCTCAAAGATTAAACACTTTCTCGGCTCTCCCCTTATAGCAAAACTCCTTCAATTCTTTCCTGCCATTTTCTCCTATTAAAAGTATTTTTTTAATAATTCAGTTTGAAATAATTTCAAATGTTGAGAAAATTTGCCAGAAGGACAAAAAGACTCCCATATTCCCTCACGAGATTCCCTAGTTATTAACACGTTATCATCACATTTGCTTCATTGCTCAGTATGCCTTTCTCCCTCCCTACACACACACACACGCGCGCGCACACACACGATCATTCATCTCTTTTTGAATCTTTAGAAAGCAGGCTTTACACACAATGTCCCATCACCACTAAACACTCCAGTCTGTATTTTGAAACAAGGACACCCTCCTGCATAACCAGCACTCAGCCTTCCGAATCGGGAAGCCAGCGTCGCTACCACACTGCCATCCAGTCTGCACCAGTCACCACACTGACTCTTGCTCCTTTCTGGTCCCGGATCCTATCCAGCAATGTGTGATGCATTTA